ATGAATATTACTGGAGTTTTTCCCAACAACAAACCGTTATTTTAACCCCCACGAATGTTTCGTGGTGTATTTCATTGTCTAATATAATTTAATTTGATTTGAAATCCTTGAAAAAAAATTAAAAATATAAACCGAAAATAACAAGTCAGAACTGATGAAATACACCACGAAACATTGTCAACCACCTTCAAACAAAAGTATCCCGAGGTTTATTGATGACTGGAATATTGAAATAGTCGATATGAAACATACCTGTGAGATAAAACTATAGGATTTGTATCTGCGTGCAGCACCTGCACCAAAGAATCGGACTGTATGAAACCTTTTATTTCGTCCAGTACTAGACTCCATTCAATCTGGTCATCAGGTTCGTAGGTACTAGTATAATCGGCGATATGTCTATCTAGTTCCGCAATTAATTCTCTCACTAGTTTCATTCGCCGGAGAAGCAGGCAAACTACTATAAATCGGGCGTAGTAGCGCAATTTTTTCACCATCAATTCAGATCTGCGAATATGTAAGAAAATGAATATTCGTATATGAATTTTCGAACATTTCCTACCTATCTTCTTTTGCTGCTCTAGAATAGTATGCTCGACCTCTGATTGCAGCGTAAAATGAATATGCTTCATTTAAATAATTTGTTTCGCTAGTCCTCAAACTGAAAAAATAAACAGAAATCAAATCATCAGGTATTAGATGATGAATCAGTTTATAAAAAGTTTCGGTAGATGTTTCTACTTATTTCGTATTTTTTCCATAATTGAAAATTATATGGGTGTTAACAATCGATCAGAGATGCACAAATTATTAGATTGTCTAATTGATCAATGAAGGAAAATCAACTACTACTGACTACTTCTTTCTGAAAAGTACATCGTCAGTTCCCTAGTAAACAAGTTATAGATTGACTCTGTATATAGAGATTTTGCTGAGGCTTTCGATGAGTCAATCATACCCTAGTGATTGTACAGCTCATGGTATTGAGAATAGAAGAAAATGTTTTACATTGAAAAGAAAACTACTTTTGTAAAAGAGTTCAGTACTTCAAATCTTTATCAAGAAAGATTGATGTATCATCAGGAGTGTCTCAGGTATCTTACATAGGCCCGCTGTTATTTCAATAAATTAATCTCTGATGTGACCAATGTTTTCCAAAACAGTTCAAAACATCTCAGGAACTACAGTATGATCTGTATAACTTTTTTGCCTAACGTCAAATAACTGCACTTTTCTGAGAGATTTTCACCGAACAGTTCACAAAACGGCATCACGTATTACTATACGTGATTGACCGATACTCGATGAAAATCTATTATATCGTATTAAAAAAAAAACACTTCAATGTTAGATTTCCACTTGAAAGTTTACAAAATCAAGACACGTGTTTCGCTATACAATAACATCATCGAACGCCCGAATATGCTATTGTATAGCGAAACACTTGTCGCGGTTTTGTAAATTTTTAAGTGGAATTGTCATATTGAAATGGGTTTTTTGAATACTTTACATTAGCTTGCTCAGCATATTCATAGTATGTATGAACACGTCATCCAATAATTTTGTATTTATATAAATTAGATTAGCTATTTCCGAGTAATTGGTAGTTTATATTCATTTTCAGAATTTGTGAACATACAATAAATATCTAGTTCCAGGAAAAAATGTATTCAAAACTCACTGCATTCCATTTCAATACATGTTCGAAATGTTTACCATTCACTCCTGACAACAATGAAGTCTTTTTATAAATTTATTTCTCACATTATGAATTGATACACGGGTAATTTCGCTGCAAGTACCTCTTTTTTTATCCACAAGTTCCAAAATGTACACTCCAGATACTTCATTTCCGAGGACTTGACAAAAAATATAAAAGCAGCCGGTGACCACTTAGACTATGTGAATATTGAAGTTACGAACACCTTTATATTATATGACACAAATATTACCGAACTGCATGAAACATTATTTTCCATTAAAAAAAAACTCGACAGGTTCACATGAAATCTCTATAAAAATCGTAGAAAATATTCCTATAAGAATACTACTCGATATATTAGTTGGTCTAATAAATAATTCATTTAGAGAAGAAATCTTTCCAGTTTTTTTGAAGAAGTCGATTGTGTTAACACTGCCAAAAGAAGAAGTCATCAATGGTCCATCAAGTCTTCGTCCAATTTCTCTAATCTCTGCAAAGGCTAAATTGATAGAAAAATTTGTTAAAACAAGACTTCTTTGCTTTCTGAATGAAAACAAAATAATAAGTGATTGCCAGTATGGTTTCCAAAAGCAAAAAACACTTCCTATGCCACACGTTCATTTCTTTACAATGTTTATTCCAACATAAATGACAAAGAAACAGTGGCTGCGGTCTTCTGTGATATAGCCAAAGCATTTGATTGCGTGAATCATAAAATTCTTTTACGGAAACTCAGTAGATACGGTATAACTGGAATAAGTCTTAAGCGGTTTGAGTAATACTTAGCAGATCGCACCCAGATGGTCAAAACCACTTTATACTCAAATGAAGGTAAAATTACTTGTGGCGTCCCACAAGGTTCGGTACTTTTATTTTTAATTTACGTTAATGACCTATCGTCTATTAATATCCAAGGGAAATTTACTTTATTTTGAGGCATGCTCCTAACAACCATACGTTGTATGAAGTTATTGAGAATGACATCACGAAAGTGAAAGAATGGTTGACAAAATCTCTTGAGCTTGAATTTATCAAAAACAAAAGTAGTGTCCTAACGCTGCCAGATTCCAGTCGTACATCTAAATAATATTCAAATCGACAATGAATCAACTTCATAATTCCTTGGCTTGGTCATTGAAAATAATTTAAAATTCAATAAAAATGTAGATTGTTTAAAATCCAAGCTCTCCTCTGAATGTTATGCAATTCGAGTAACTGTATTTCAGCTCAGATCTGCAGTGGCTAGAATGGTATATCATTTCCTTTTTGAATCCTATCTTCGTTATGGTATTTGCTTTTGGAGTGTGTGCCTTCAATCTGTATTACTGATACAAAACCTGCAATACGATGCATATGCAAAGCCAAGTCTGGGGACTCTTGTCGGCCTGTATTTGCCTCTAACAGAATCCTAACTGTGGTCTCTTTATTTATATATGAGACAATTTGCATTCTCTTTAAAAATAGGAACTTGTTTAACAACTTGGACGAGCCAATGTATCAAACCAGACAAAGATTCAGCTTCAAATTACTGTTGCCTTCTTCGACCCTAGCTGAAAATTCCATTATTTACAACGGTCTCAAAATGTTCAGTCGCTTTCCTCAAGCTATAAGAACCACAAATGACCTTAGCGCTCTTAAGAAAGAGTTGAAAGACTTGCTTTCTGTGAGACCTTATTATAGCTTAGCACAATTCTATGATGATAATTTTGATTGGGTATGACTAACTGTAATATCTACGGTATTTTATTGATTTGATTCAATTCAGTTAAAATTGATTTATTCCATTTCATTGACCATGTTCTTATATCCTGAACGTTTGTATTAGGTTATTGTTAATTACATGTCTCTTTTCAGTTCATGGTATCACTTACTTTTAGTGATTGAATAGAACCAGCCGATACTTGATGAAAATCCACATTAAAAAACTAATCAATACAGTTTATAGTATGATTTTCACTATAAAGGGTTCTACAAAAACCGCGACACGTGTTTCGCTATACAATAGCTTCTTCAAGCATAAACTAAGAGTAAGTAACTCTAATCAATATAGTTTATTGTATGATTTTCACTATAAAGGGTTTTACAAAAACCGCGACACGTGTTTCGCTATATAATAGCTTTCTCAAGCATGCTTGAAACATGTGTTGCGGTTTTTGTAAAACCCTTTATAGTGAAAATCATACAATAAACTGTATTGATTAGTTTCTTTTTACTTTTAGTGATTTTACTTTGGTGATACTTTTGTGATTTCATTTATATGTTATTTATATTTTGCACCAGGCTTTGTCAATAAGAATTCATTCTTTAGACAATAAAGTATATTTTGAATTGAAATTGAATTGATGTCACGTATCTTCTCAAAAACATGTATCCGCGTACGAGGTGATCTGGTAAGCATTTTTAAGCGATCACGTTTGCCAGTCTACCGGTTTGGGAAACTCGCTGGATTACCTCATATACTGAACTTCGAGTTTTTTTTGTAGCGATTGGTGAAGTCTAAAGTTCACTCCTAACAATCGCAGTCTTTTCCAGAGCTCACGGTTACAATTACTCCTGAATTATTTCATAATGGAGGAAATTAATTTGAAACAAACTTCATTATTGTCAGGAAGTGAATAGTGAACATTTATCGAAATGACCTGGAGTAAGTTTTCAACACATTCCATCTTGAAATTATATCAACGGTAAAATGAATATAAAATTGCTATTTACTCAAAAACGGCTGATTGGATTCCAAAAATAAAAAGTGTGGGACGGAGATTTGGAATACCTATCAAACACTCATCTTTCTATTTGAAAAAAGTTGATAGCGCCCTCTAGGCGACAAGTGACGCAACACTATTTTCTTTCTTATCAAAAAGTACTGAAAATCATACTTTTTAACCTAAATTTTGTCTGACCTTGATATCTTGTCCCATTCAAAAGTTAAGAGGGGGCAGAATTATTTACGTTCGCACTGTATATAGGTTAATAAATCGGTAAGATCTTACCTCATTGAAGTACTTGGTCTAAGAATGTTTTTTGAATTTCAAGTAAATTAGAAAAAAATATTTAATATTCTACTCACTAATAATGATAATAAAGTTGTCCAATTTTAGATGCTATTTCTCCAATTTGCCACCTCTTCAAACCATACTTCGAATCTAAAATTTGACGGTGCTGCTGTTGAAATTTCCATAACTTAGTATAGATATCAAAAGTCCTTCCGAAATAAGCTTGCCACTGTTTATGGCCGTATTGCGGCAGGTCCCTGAAACAAAATTAAGCCATTTCCTTTCAATGAAGGACGAAACATTCCTTGATAGAAACGTGACTCATACCTGACCGCTTAGATACAATAAATTCTCACTCACCTCAAACCATTGAATAGTTGTTTGGATTTTTCTAATAAATGAACGAACTCCATCACGATTTTCCTTTCATGATCCTCCATATTCGCCATGCCGACCATTTTTTTGTTATTTTAGCTTCTCATGTTTTCTAATATTGAGATATTAGATGGTGACGGTGAGTATGACGGCCGATGTCGAAAAATCGAACAGCAGACATCATGCCGACGCCAGCACCGCGACGGCGTTGGCTCAAATCATCCCTTCGCACAAGGGCGTCGAAAGTGGAGTGTCGAGTTCTTACACTGAGAAAAATTGTTACTCATCACTTTCTCTTTCATTGAATATCTTCAATTTCGTATCACGTGGAAGACAGTAGAATACACGTTCAGAATACCTTCTAACATCCAACTGTAGTTAATATTGATACTAGAGAATGATGATATAGAAGTATATATTATTATCACGAAAGTTCAAAAGTTAACTTCTTTCTCTTTTTTTTAATATTGCAGGAATTTTTGAAGTCATTAATTTATTATGAGTATGCACAAGCACTGCAGAAAAACCCTTAAGCAACGAACATATTTATCTGCAAAAACCATCTCGAAAAATGTATTTCACACGTACATGTACCAACCTTCCTTAGATGATCTAGAATCTAGACTATCGAAGTTGTTTGCGATGGATGTCTTTTTATTCGGCGAAAAAAACCTCAGTGTATTATTTGTAGGAGAGCTCCTTATGTGTGGACAAGAAGATCTAATTTGAACTTTGTACAGCATTCAAAATTGCTGGGGTTTGTATAACTTCCTGATTCAAAATAGTTTTCCAAACTTCTGAGAAGCTGCCTATGCTATTCCAGTATCGTGATTGTGCCAAGACGTATCAGTACAGCTTGTCAAATATGAGAAAAGTTTTCTGAATTCCGTTATGGTCCCGCCCACTATATGTGCGTTAGTTAGAAGAATATGAGAGCGACAGAGAGAGATAATTCTCAAGTCTTTTCCCAGATTTGACAAGCTGTATGGAATTTGATACCCGAGGCAGCTAGCGGAATTGTGTGCGCTGACATTATTCTGCCCGGTTCTGTTTATTTCACTTCGTTAGAGAAAACGAATGCTTGGGTGTCTATAGCGTTGAATTGTACTTGTTGACTAGTGTCCCCAGAAAATTTCATCCAAATCTTCTTTTAGAAAGTAGGTAGGCATGTGCTCTACTACTAGAGCTGAATTCATTTGTGATGAATAGTTGAAGTTTCCTCGATCTAGTGAGTACCTGATCAGCCTGCGACTACCTTTGACAGGTATGTCAGCAACACCAATGTATGGCTTGGGAAGTAGTTCTACTGTGACGAATTTCAGAGATGTGTCCTCCCATGGGTGCAAGGTATTAACTGCACCCTCCAACCAGGAGCTTCCGAAATGTGCATCTCTAGAATCTTACCTGCGGACCTTCTACTGAAATATCCTCTTTGTCAGTCATAACGGCATACTGAAGAGATTCCAAATGATTGGACGATGATGAGGTTGTTAGATGTTCAAGATACAAGATTACCATCGTGATGACTGCAGAGTTGATAGGGTAATCGTCTAGGGGAGAGTCATCGATGATCTATCGCAGGAATGGTTATTGAGAAAGCTGAAAGTTCAAACAGAGAACTTGTATATCAGACGAGATCAAGGACCGTGTAAATATTAAAAGCAACACAGTCAGATGATCTTTGTATTGGTGATCTGTTGGATTTTTGCTTCCTAGAACTATATTGAAGATACGAATATCTGAGAATATATTGATAGCTTTTTTCATCATTTTCGATATCACCGTAAATAAAGTAACTCGCCTACAGATATTTTGAATAACTTTTCATGACTTCTTTGGTTATAAGCTGAATGCAAGCGGTCTTCCAACAATATCAAAAAGTTCCTTTCATATAAGCGTTCAAAGATCCTACGAAACAGTAGGCTGAGGGAGATGACAGTCTTTATCAGGACCAGAAGTTTTGTTGATGTACTAACGCCATCGCCATGTTGTCAGCGATTAATGGTTTTGTGAAATTCACTTGTTTCATTTTCCAGATTCTTAATACGAAGCATTTTATCTTTCATTTTGCTGCCGTAATACTATTTAACGCAAACGTTACACAGAATTATAATAATAGAATTATAACATTGTTATGACCCTAACTCGTATATTCTGCCATAGTATAAAGATAATAAGATAGTAGGACACTATGATTCTGCTGACTATTGAAATTATTTGGCAAGATACTGGAAGTGTATTATTGACTAATTATATCGATGTATCCAAATCGGATACAAGCACGTGTCGTGGTCACCAAATTTAGGCAGATATGAGTTTTCTTTAAAAAATGAAAAATACATATATCTTTCACGTTTAATACTTTGCTGAACAATAGTATGTACACGGAATATAAATCCTGAAAGTGTTGATAAAAATCAAGAATATTCGTTTTTCAGAAGAACATATGAATTTGTGATGCGCTGTTTGGAACCTCTGGTGTAGTAATGAATATTACTGGAGTTTTTTTCCAACACCAAACAGTTATTTTAACACCTCGATACGTGTTACGATCACCAAGTGATCATCTTCAGGAGGAAGATCAAAACTGTTGTTGTTTGATTTTTGTTCAATGTTCATAAAAAAGTATTTGTTTCGAAAGTATCTTTCTTTCGTGTAATTCAATGTTTATATAAAAGTAGCTGTTTCGAGAGGGCTTTTTCTCCCAGTTTCTGTCTGAAAAAAACTTTTTTGCATGATCTATATATCTTTGTATGCAGTTACTTTTTTGAAATCGATTGCTTCTTTCCTTTCTTTGGGAGATTACCACATTTTTTGTTTCAAGATGGAGAAATAGAAAGTCAAAAACTAACTTTCCCCACAAATAAATATTTTTCAGAGAATGGATGGAGGTTCATGGTATGGCCAGCTGAGTCCAGACCTTACCTTAGTGAATTTCTTCTAGTAATTAAAAACTGCAATAATCTCACCTTTAATCGAAATTATACGCATTGCGTTCATTGTCGCCTTAGCAACAATTCATTTGTAGGAAATTTTAACTGAAATTTTATGTATCTCGGTGGTTTCTCTTCGAACGTTATCTGCCTTATATTCTCGAAACTTTCAACGGTAATGTTCTTATTATATGATATTTTTATGCAGAAACCTTCCAACTGCATTATTCAATCGTCTACTCCCAAGGCTAGCTATTGATTCGTTCTTTTAAGCATGAGGGTAGTCTGGAATAATCAATAATATAATTTTATGCTTCCCTTGAAACCGCAAGAGGGTGCGTTCTGTGAGTTATAAGGGGTTCTGTAATTGTTCTCAAAATTGCAGTATTCTCTTTTGTGAATATTGTTCTATAATTGTACTAGAGGTCAGTGCTATAATGAGTTGATTTCCATGAAATCAAGGAACGGTTTGGAATCGTTTGATAAAAATTGCTTCTTTATTTCATATTCTGTACTTTTCATATTTTTCATATTATAGTCCAGAATTGACAATTTTGAAAAGAGTATGGCTGCCAGAAAGGAAACACATTTGCGCACCGGTGCGTTTTAATCGCGATTAATGCACAAAACAGATTATCTTTACCATTTTCTATTCGACCAACATTTATTCGGCAATTTATTCCAACATTTATTCCACTACTAGATTTTTGGTAGTTTAGAGAAAGTAATCGAAGATTATTAAGTTAACTTAAGTTTTTCCCACTTGTTTTTTTCACGAATGTACTTACGTTAAGTATCGAAATAGTTAATGAAAATTGATTGATTGATTGACAGCAAATGCCATTTCTCTGAACCCATAGAATAGGTGTTTATTTTCGTTTCAATAATGAATGAATTCATTTTCCACAACTTCAATTTTTTTAAAAGGGTCAATAACAGTTGAAAGGTTATACTTGTTGGATTGCCACGAATAATATGCTATGGCTAGGAACTTTGGAAAAAACATGTATTTTTGGACAGTCGAAAGATATACTTAGTTATTATTTGCTACTTTTTAAATGTCATTTTTAATACTGAATATACATATACAATTTTTATAATTATCAAGGAGTAGGCTGGTTCAACAATCATCCTGTCTAAAAAATCCAAATTGAAGTTTGTCCGTACCCGTTCTTCTTTGGCTTCACTCCGGTATAGTCTATCCATTCGCAAACGGAACGGCAATAAAAATAAGAGTACAGTCGCCCAGATAGTTAGTAAACGTGCTTTCAAATGTAGTTGAGGAATAAAGGCTCGGCTAGCTGGACTGGCTGAATACTAATTTTTTGTCCGTTTCACAATATTTCTTTATCAGTGCCGTGTGTGCCTTAAGGATTTTCCTGTAGTGCTTGTGTTTTGTCTTAAAAAAGGCTAGCTGCACACTGATAGCTTCTGAATCTCGAACAAATTATCTAGTCAGTTGAAAGTTGCGTACAGTTATTCCAACCACCCACTGGCAACTGTATAGTAACTTGACCTCAGTTTATAAATACAGGTTGTTTCCTAACTACGGTACAAAACTTCAGAGGGTGATTCGTTACGTCGTTTTAAGAAAAAAAGTTCATATGCTTTGGTTGGTCTTCACCACGACAAAACCTGGAAACCAACCAAAATATTGACGCCAGCCGTGAAAGCCTACATTCCTATAAAAGTTTCTATGAACATAATTATGTCCGGAGTTGGTTGAACACCGTTTTGGTTGAACTTTGCTACAGTTATTTGAAGTAATAAGGCGCTTATATAGCCCGATCTAGATTGAAATTATTAGGTCCTGTGGCGTCTCAGTGGGCAGCACAGAACGCCACTGGCTTTTTTGTATTTTTTTTATTCTTTCAGATTAAGCAACTGAAAATATCACTTTTTAGTCGCTTGTGCTTTCTTCATATCAAGCTTTGTTTTTGAGAAAAACAATCACTTGGAAAAACTATCTATGGACAACATAAAATAAAAACCAAAAGTAGATGAATAATGAACAATTTCGGCCTCATAGTAAATGAGCAAAATGTCCGCCTTCTGATAAAATACACGACTGCAATCGATTTGTCATTCGTCGCCTGACACGTTCAAAAATACCCAGAGTATTTTATATGAGATCGTAATTGTCAGTTATTCGATTCCTCAAGTCATTTACATTTAGTACAAAATTTTATAAACAAGAGCCTTAAGATGACCACATGGATAGAAATCTAGAGCATTCATATCAGGACTGCCAGCTGTCCAATTTTGAGGATCTGCACGTGCAATCCAGGGATTGCAGCA